TAATACCCAAAATATCTGGGTGCGAAATTATGAAAATGCCCTTGAGAGTTGAAAATAGGCTAAGTTGACTCTGAATGTGAAAGTAACCTGAGAATTTTTTTAAATCGATAAATTACTGATTTGATTGTTGGGATCCTATCTTTGTATGGAAAATTTCTGAAAATTCATTAGTGACACTTGAAAAGACATTTAACTTGGAAATTACTGAATTCTGAAGAATGAGTTATTGAAGGTGCTCTTTAGTCAGAATTATTTGAAAGGACTGAAGTAAGTGATAAGATTAAATTAAATAATAAGATCGAACGTAAGGAAATGATGAAAATACATTGGATCTATAAAATGACCAAAATACCCCTAGAATGAAAATGACTCAAGAATGTCACCAAGCTCAAGAATGAATGGATATACTCAAGCTTTGAAATGAATAGAAAAAACGTTGAGCACCAAAATGACCAAAATACCCTTACGACCTAGAATAAGTAAATGTCTTGGATTAATTAAGAAATCCAAATAATCATGGATGTTGTGCTACCAGTAAAAGTTATGGAACGCAACTTAAGTGATCAACCAAAGCTAGTGCTATATCATTACCTGAATGATATAGATACCACTTGAATGTTTGTTCGTCTTCTCAAATTTGGATCGATGATAATTCTGATAGTACTTGGCTCAGCTCAACGCTAGAGCGCATACAATACTAATAAGTGGGTATTCGTGAGACAATTCAACCACGAATACCAGAATGACTTTATTATATGACTAAATTGAACTGAAAGGAAATACAAAATGTATTTGAAATTCAGAAACGTCTGAATTATTCTGGAAAACTCTAAAGTAACCGGGATAGACTTGCTTACTAAACGAACTAAGTAAACTCAATGATTGAGGATTAATTAGGTGAGTGGATGGCTTTGGAAACATTGTTGAACTTACATGATGAATTGTCCTTATGGGTTATGAACCATGAATCAAGTACGTTCGTATTTCCTGATATCATTGAAACATGAAAATGAAATAAAGACCGATGGAAGATCTATTCAGCGATGATTATGGGGATGATCTATGGATCTGCATTATGGTATTAAAGAGTGAATACACTGGAAGGATAATAAATTGACTTGCTGACATGCATCAGTTTAGGAGTTGTGTAACTGGAGTTGTTTGATAATATGATCGATAGTCATAGATTGTAAATGACTTGAATCTTCGATTCTATATTTCATCTAAAATCACATCGGTCATGTTTGAAAAAGAAAGTAACGCAGAAGGAAAAGATTATGAATACCTCATTTGGTTCAATTGGGCTGAAATCCTATGAATTCAAAGTATATTCAAGAATACCCCTGATTATTTGGGTAATGGAATCACTCGCAGTAAATCTGAATTTAGAATTATTATGTATAAAGGTTCCTGAACGTTTTTCTTAATGCACACGAAAATATAGTGGGATTCTAAAGTATCAACCTTAAATGTCTGGCTAGATCGGTTAGTAATCGATTCTCCTCAATAGGACCTTGTTCCTGGAATTCGATCAAATTTCATAAGTTTCATGTTATCCATAATGATAACTACAATGGCCTCTGAAAATACTTGGATTCTCTAGTGTGTTCCCTATTTATTACTGAACTATTTTATTTGTTTTAAAATGTGGTACACTGAATTTTATGGCTCCTGTTTTATTAATGCACCAATTTATTATGATTTTTATGGATTAAGACGACTATCTGATTTTTGGTTTGAACTGGTATGTGATTACCATGTATATGGATTTGTGAAATTTATGTCACGGTGCAATTGTATTTTTGATACGGATTTATAAAGTACAGCTCTAATCAAGCTGGAAAACTTTGACAGACCTAATGTGACTCTTGGGTAGGCTCACGGGCCCCAAGATGTTCCATTAGGTTGGCTCCCTTTTGCTGTGTGCTTAGGGTAAGCCCTATGGACTTACGGACTTAAGGATACAGGCCCCAAAGCCTATCCTTAGGTTGGCTTCCTTTTCGTTGTGTGCTTAAGGTAAGCCCTATGGACGCAGTTCTAGGAACTGCGGATGGTGTACAAGAGAATGGTTTAAACTACAAGTTTCAAAAGTTAAATTTCATTATGATTTTATGAGATTTACTGAACTATCATTTGATAAGTGTACCTATTATGATTTTATTGTACTGTTGGAACACACTAGATATCCTATTCGATCTCCTGAAAATGTCATACTTTGAATGCTTCCTATGAACTGTGTTTTTCATGGCTTCAACTTGATGAACAACTAATAGAACCCCAGATTATTCCGCAAACTGGTATACGTATGATTCAATAAGGAAATTATATGGCTTTCCATTTATCTACATGTCATGTAGCATCATATGGTAGTTCTGTATTACTGAGCTTTCCGAAGTTTACTCTATTACTCACCATTGCAGGTTAAAAGATTGTACCAGTACAGCTATCAACATCAGTAAGGGAGTTCTTCCGGCGTTGATTGCAGAGTATGGTACATGTGATTAGGGGGCATATAATTGTATTTTGCTTTATATATGAGTCTGAAAATCTGTTTTATTTCGAATACTGATAAATTTTATTTTGTACTCATAAATGATTTTATGAGTTTACATGTTTTAAGAAAAGTTTTAAAATTTCCGCTATTTTTATAGTGGGTCATTCCGGTAGCCCTAATGTGACTTCCCGGATCAGATCGGGTTACCCGTATCGGTCTGGAGGGTTACACCTTGTATATGGCTTCATAGTGTCGGATTTTAGCCGGTCGAACTCACTGAGTTGCTGGAGCTGCTAACATAACCGAAAAATTTAGTGTTATGCTATAAATTCAATATAACATGAAGACATTGCACGTGTATTACGGGTACAATACTGTATGATGTTCTACATTCGAGATGGAATTCGGAAACATATGAGGAGATAAACAGTGCAAAAATTGAATTAATTACCTTTAGCCGATGCTTTATCCTGAGGTTTCATTGCTGGGAAGAGAAAAACTTCATGTTCAAACATAGCATGCAACAGGTTATGAGTGACGATTAAAAGTCGATTGGATCTCATTTGTGAGTGATTATATACATATACACAAATAGATTAGAGAAAACATTGATATGTTGTGAATCCGTTAATAACATAGCTAGCCGACCGATACCCAATCCCCAACCACCTATTGGTGGCAATCCATACTCAAGTGCAGTATGAAATGTTTCATCCAAAGCCATTGTTTCATCATCACCTGATTGTCGATCTTGACATTCCAAAATCTTCACCTGATTGATTCATCACCATGCTTCACAGTGGAATGGAATTTAGCGTATTCACCTTCATCCAAGCCTGACTTTGAATGTCCCATAAACCGACATTACCTTGAATGTCCCATAAATCTTCTCATAACAAGAGAAATTTGGAGGACATAAATAAGATAACACATATTATGATGAAAATGGTCATATACCTCGCATCAGCCATAACTTGCACTTTGGCACCGCCACCATGCAAGTCATAGAAGAAAAGCTTTGAGTTGGATGTTATTTTGCTCATAATTCGCCCTAGCATAAAATAAATACAATAGAGTCATTTTAAAATAAATAAATGAACGCAACCATCATACATTGGATTGTATATGATGGGAGTAGGAGGGCCTCGTTAAATACCAGGAAAGACACTGCAACATCCTCAATATGTTCCCCATTGCCTGAGCTTCCATATTCATCTATATATTTGACTATAGAAATTTATGTGAAGAATTTATGAGGATATGGATTTTTTTCCTTTTGCCTTTTGAGCTGCAAGAAATTTCAGCCTATTCTCATGGAATTGCTGACAAGAAAAGGTTAAATTTAACATTCTGCCAAGAGGTCACTTAAATCTTTATGAATTTTGTATTGTGATTTGTGAAAAGCATCACTATAGCAAACATTAAACTATAAGAAAAGCGCAGAGATGTGTTTTCTTTTCTACAAATTTATCAAGTAAGTTTTTTCACAAAACTTTTCCTCCCAGAACCAGATTGCAATCTTCCATATCCGATATAATAAATCATTCATTTCTGAGTAAAAATATGGCTTCATTCAGTTTTTACTATCACTGCTTGTATTTTGAACCATTTTCCTTTTATTTCCTAAAATATGGATAAAAGGAAAATAGTAAAATCTAAAATATAACTTTAGGGAACAAAAAATTTGTTTTTTTTTTATAGAAATACTTGTTATATTTTTACAAATTTTTAAAATTTCTGCTTATCATGATTTTGCTAAATATGAAAGCACTTTATTGTGTTAGAAAGCAATAGCTAGAAGTAACTTGAAATTAAATAATTAATTAATTATCAAAACTAAAACCGTAAAAAAATTCAAATTAATTACTTATAGCAAAGTAAACTCATGTATGAATTTCATGTAGGGGGTGAGTAAAACTCAATTTGACTCGAAAAATCGATCTTTTTTATTCTAAAAATTTTAAATTCGAGTCAAATTATAAAATATAACACGAATAATTCAAATAATAACTTTAACCGAAGGCTGAAAATTTTGTATTAATGGAATTTCCAACTACAATTATGGGAACCATAAATTTCCAAAAGCATTCCACCAAGGGAAAAATTGAATTATTATGTGTATGTAACCCTTAATAGTAGGGTTCATAATAATGGCTTCACATATAATAAGACATGACCAAAAACAACTCAATACTAATAGTTCCTTTTTTCAATTTGGTGTTTTGTTAGTTTTGGTTGTTGGTTGTCAAATTGTAACTCTTTGAGTTGTAGATTTTACAGAGTTGTGTTGTACTCTTTTTCTCCATATAAGTTTAGGGAGGATTTTAACGAGACATACAACTTTAGTTTTGGGATCATTAAAGTACTGGAGACATCAAGCTCTATAAAGCACAATTCAAGTATGAAAACCACACCATAAATTTCACAAATGCACTAAAACAACCAAAAACAAATAGAACCCTAAACAAACTTGTCATCATCATCTTCCATATATATAAAATCACATGAAATCATACCTCTTTTGAATGTAGTTCCCTATCCATCTTTGTCTTTGATGTCAATTTGATCTGCCTCCGGAGTCGTCGTATTATACGTTCCTCAGGCTCTGATCTTTCATTCAATGGAACCAAACTCTCAACATAAGCAATAATGTGCATTGTTCCCTGATAAGTATGAATACAAAGATTTTAAAGCTCTCGTAAAGCTCTCGTATGGAAGGGTACAACATAACTAGTTCATGATTCGAGCTCTCAAGAAATAATTCGACATTTTCCCAAAACTACAAAGGCCTCCCAACTCCACGGACAGATTCAACACTAAATTGTTTAGTCCACGACCCACTCATAACCCATAAATCAAAAGATTTTTGAGCTTTTTTCCTCGGGTAAACAATAGCACCAAGCAATCCATTGAAGTCTAAAAGTTGGAAATCATATTGTGCTAAATTCCCACCAATTTCAAGCAATGATAAAGTTGAAAACTTTTCACTGATCATATCAAACGAAAGAATAACGTTATCAAAATAATCATTTTATCTTTTAGTTTCTTAAACCTTTGATCTTTTATGTCTTTGTAACATTCTAGTTTTTATTACAATTCTAACCCTCTAAATAGTAACTATGTAAAGCACATGATACATAAACAGTTAAAAAATAATATTATCTCTCTTGCATTGTTATTTTTCTCTTTTGTTCTTACTACAAATCATATAGTTTTATAACATGTTATAAGCGCGATCTCGCTCAATTATATTAATCATTGATTGATAATTTTATATAAATATTGTAATCTGATATTAAAGATTACATTTACAACCTATTCAATTTAACTTGAAAAATCTAATATATTTTGTTTAATTTTCTATTAAATTAGGTTCTAATTTATGATTTTGTTTTGATCTAATTCCCATTAAGAGATTGATCCATTAAAATGAAAAGTTATGATATTATTAATGATTCTAAATATAGATGAAAATCATTTAAGAATAATATTAATATCATTCGAAAATATTTGAAATTCAGTAGAAGAGTAAGATATTAGGTAGGGTGTGTAAAAATATCCGATTTGAATAATCTAATCCGATTTTGTTTTGGATAATTCGGATCGGATATCCAGTTAGAAAATTAGATACGGATCGAAAAAATATCCATTTTAGATTATCCGAATATCCGAAAAATAAACGGGAAGTTGCTGAAGAATGTTGCATATAAGCAAGAAGTGCCATGGTTTCCCATCTAAAATAGCGATGTTAATGCTCAGTTATTGATGTCATCAGCTTATTCTTTTCAAGAAAACAGATCTTCTTCATCTTCAGATTCATCAAACCATCATCAATGGTTTTAACTATTCGAGCCCAGAATGATTGTAGTTAATATGTACCAACTCCAGCTTGTGAGAGTGGAAGAACAATGCATGAATACCGCAGAAGGATGGTGTAATTTCTTTTCAGTGGACTAAGCTCCATCTCTTCAATAGTATTTCACGGGAAAGTGAAAAGAATTAAAGTCTTTAAAACCCCATCAAATGCAGCAACGTATCCGCTTTAGCACTTTGTTAAAAAAATATGCGCACAAGTAGGGCTGTAAAAAGCTGACCCAACCTATAAAACTGACTGAAATCGACCCGAGTCAAAATTGTTTTTGACCTGCACTGTAGCGATCCGAAACCGACTTGAGTCGGAACTGGTGTTGACCTGAACCCGATTTAGACCTGGAAAATGTGGATCCGAACCCGACCTTCATCCGACCTGAGAACGACTTGAACCCGAATTGAACCGAAAATATGATACCCAAACCCGAACAACATCCGACTGATATGAACGCGAACTCGATATTGACCTGGTAAATAACTGGTATTACCCGACCTGTTTTCAACCTGACCTGTTTTCAATCTGACCTATTTTTAACCTGACATGTAAATGATCCGACTTGTTAATGATCTAATATGATATTTACCTGACTTTTATATTACCATGGACGAAATTATAAGATTTTAATAAAATTATGAGTTTTTTAGTTTATGATGTAATTAAAAAATTAATATGATTATTTTTTAAATGTTATAATAAAATATTTATTATAATAATTAAATTAATAAATAGACATATTGTATAATTTTTTTTAATAAAATTAATAAAATTATTTAAATGTAAATTATTTATACTTTTAAAATAACACTTCTACATAAACGCATATCATTTTAATAAATAATAGTATTTGAATATCATTTTAAAAAATAAAGATATTATAAAAATGCCACAACCTTGATATAAATTTTAAAAATGGTGTACACAAAATATAAATAAAATAACATAAATTTTGATATAATTGGATTGAAAATATTAAAATAAGATGGAAAAGACATGGAGACAAGAGTGGGGAACACACCCACGTCCCCACTGCCCAATCTTATTCCAAATATTCCCCCATTGTTTTATTATTTTCTTGGTAGATTTAGTAAAAAGATTGGAATATTTAGATTAACCTTTTTGTACAAATGCTGGCTGGATCCCTGTTTTTCAGTTTCATTGCCTGGTATTGTTTAATGGGCAAGTGGTTGGTTGGCGGGGACGGTTTATTTATTTATTTTTATTCTGATTTTTGAAATAGTGTCCGACACAGACTGAGTCACGGTTTTCAAGTGCTTCTGTATCATTTGTGTGTGAACTCATTTGAATTTGGATTTGATGTTGGGTTAGAATTTAATTGCAAAATATATTCTTTTAGTTTTATATAAATTTAAAATTATTGGATGAATAAAATTAGATGGTTGATATTTGCATCTTCATTTGATCCATTGTTAGTTATTATTTATATTTTTGTAACTGATCCATAATTTTTTAAATGTGTTTAATTTAGTCATTTTATATTAATTTAAACCTCACATTTTAAATTTATTTTGATTTAGTCCCTTACCTATGTGAGCTGTTTAATTTTTATTTTAAAATTTTATTTGTAATTTTACATTTCTTCAATTTTTCCTTAAATTTATATTTTTTTACAAAATTGATCCATGATTTTTTGGTAATTTACTCGAAATCATATACAATTATAACTTGCAATTATTTAGGGTTTAATGTTTATGGTTTAGTGCTAGTCCATTTATATTAGGGTTTATAGTTTAGGGTTTAATGTTTATGGTTCAAGGTTTATAATTTAGTATTTAAGGTTTAGGGTTTCTATAAACTATATATTTTATTACTTTATATAGTTTATGCATAGTGTTGCTATAAACTATATAAGTAATTTACTTTATATAGTATATATATATAGGTTATATATATATAGTTTATATATACTATACATGGTTTATACATACATATTATATAAAATTATTTAATTAAATTAATAAGATTATTTAAATGTAAATTATATAAAACATGATTAATTAGGTGTTAAATAATTAGTATGTCACATTGCATATTATATGGTTCATAAATAGTAGTATATGTCATATTAATTTCATTTGCACAATTAATATTTTAGTTGCATGTTAGGTTAATTCACATTAATAGCCCATTTATTTTGTTGTTATGAATAAGTAATAATAAAACCAAAAAATAAGTAACATTAGGGTTAATGATTTAGGGTTCACAATTTAGGATTTAAGATTTAGTGTTTTATAAACTATATACTTTATTACTTTATATAGTTTATGCATTGTGTTTCTATAATATATATATATATATAATCTATAGATTAATTATATTAGTTATACATACATATATATTATATATTAATATAAATTATAATTTATAAACTATATATCTTATATAGTTTATATATATATAATTTATATACATATATATATATATATAGAAAATTAAAAGTAATTAGAATGTATACATGATTAAATTGCATCAAATTGAAAATTCAAGAAGATATTTACAATTAAACCATGACTAAAATGAAAGAAATCAAAAATCAAATACAAGTGGGAAAATGATGATTGTTGGAGGAGCATGAGCCTAATTAACCCAAAATATCTTTTCAAATAAAATCTCAATTCTCAATTTCTCTCCAAAATTTTCTATTCCCTCTAAATTTCTCAATTTCCCTCTAAATTCTCAATTTTCCTATATTCTAAAAAATTCTCAATTTCCTTCTAAATTCCCAAATAAAATCAAAAATTTTCACACAAGAGTTTTTTCTCACCACTCACTTTGAATAATATATATATATATATATATATATATATATATATATATATATATTATATTAATATAAATTATAGTTTATAAACTACATACTTTTATAGTTTATACATATATAGTTTACATATATAATTGATATAAACATAATTTATATAAATAACTTATAATAATTATATAGTTTATAATATAAATATAGTTTATATATAAACTTATATTATATATATATTATATTTTTTCAATTTTTTAAATGAATACAATTTACTATATTTTTCATTATTTCTTCACATTTTGTATTTATTTCGATTTAATCTTTTTTTTAATTTATTTCAATTTTAAGTCTTTCACTTTTATATGTATTCAATTTAGTTCTTAAATTTATGTTTGCGTCTTCATTTGGCCCATTGTTAGTTGTTATTTATCTTTTTGTAACTGGCCCATAACTTTTTAAATGTTTTTAATTTAGTCCTTTTTTATATTAATTTAAACCTCACATTTTAAATTTATTTCAATTTAGTCCCTTACCTACGTGTGTTGTTTAATTTATATTTTAAAATTTTATTTGTAATTTTACATTTCTTCAATTTTGTCCTTAAATTTATATTTTTTACAAAATTGATCCATGGATATTTATTTTTCTCTTAATTTACTCAAAATTATATAAAATTACAACTTACAATTCAACAATCACGAAAGATGACAAAATAATTAATCCAAAAATAAAAACGATCCGACCTGAACTCAATCCGTATTTGGTTAACATCCGAACTGAATTTTATCTGTCAATGATGTGACCCGATCTGAACGAGATCCGACTGAAGTCCACCCGAACCTGAATTAACCTGGTCTTTATCTGCTTCAGGCCTGAACTGTTTTGACCTGAACTGACATCGATTCGAT